TGTTATGTTGAAGAGCAGTGGCAATAGTGGACACCCTTGTCTTGTTCCTAATCTCAAAGGAAAGGCTTTCAGCTTTTCTCCGTTGAGGATAATATTGACTTTGGGTTTATCATATATGGCTTTTATCATGTTGAGGTATGTTCCTTCTATTCCGAGGATTTTAAGGGCCTTAAACATAAATGGGTGTTGAACTTTGTCGAAAGCCTTATATTTACAAATAATTGTAAAAAAATACGTTGAATATTTGTAAGTGGATCTGAAGGAACAGTGCCATCCCATTCCCCCTACCCCTACCTCAACAAGATGGAATTACTCAATAACCCAGTCCGTTTTAATCACCCATCTCAGAAGAAGGGACGGAGGAGTAGCAACAGACGTTCCTCCCACTCTATCCTACTATTGCTTGTCCCCAAATTTATAAAATATTTCCATGAAGCTGACTCAATGCAAAAACTCTGCAACATGCCACCTGCCCCGTGTACCCAGCCCTCCTTGAAAAGGTGAGCAAGGGTCCAAGCAGGCCAGGCACTCACTCTTACTCTCAGGGGGCATGGGGCCGCTGTCGACGCTGCCACCATGGCCGGATGTGTTACAGAAGGGTGGGGCCCAGCCCAAGTCACAGTGGCAGTTCCTGTTGTTGTTGCAGACCTGAGGGGGGGGGGGCAGGGCAGAGACATCAGCACCATGGACAGAGCACCATTCTCCCGAGGACGCCCTGACCCCAAGACACCAGCACAGGGCCCCCAGAAGCACACACATACCCCATGGCCATTGCACTTCTTCATGCAGTCTTCAGTTTCAAAGAAGGAGGTGTTCCTGCACTGCCCCTCAAAGCAAATCTGTAGTGAGGAAACCAAACTGTCAGTACGACTGCAAGGATGGGGCAGTCAGGATGGGGAATATGTGGGCCTCTTGGAATATGTGGGCCTCGGGTCGGCCACTTAAGGCTCTTTATTACAGTTCAAAACTGAAAACCTAAAAAGTCAAGGACAGGACAGAAGCTAACTAAATCCTGCTACTACTTCTGTAATCAGGGAGAAAAAAACTATTATATTGTTAAAACGCTAGTTTACCAATATGAAATTAAAAATTTGTTATTATAATCTATCTCAATATATGTCAGTTATATATTATTGATTTCATTACGTATTAACAGGCAATGCTTTTAATACCATGCTTAAAGTCAACGATGATGGTGACAGTCATCTACCTGGACCAGATACTGCACTTAGGGCCCTGGCTCCTTCTGAGGTGCCATTATCATCCAGGCTTCCTAGTCAAGTCCATCTCTGAACTGTGACAATTAAGAAGAGGATGTGAGATTTTAGCCTGTGAGGATGAATACCAGGGTGACAGCCTGTGTAGATGGTTTACAGGGATTGCCCCATTTACTTCTTATACAATTCTATGGTGTGAGAGCTTGCACTTTTATGAAGGAAGACACTAGTCTTAGAGTGGTGGGGCTGGGACGTGGCCCACCAGGCTCCTCCCGGGCCACGCTCAGTCACTGCCCTCTGAAGCCAGGTTTCGAGGGAGGCTGCAGGAAGGGACGCACGTGATTGTGGCCACACTTGGTCCCGGTTATCACCAGGCCTGGGTCCAGCATGTCCTCCTCCTCGTGGGGGCCTCGGTAGACGTGGGTGCCCCGGCACTGGACCGGCTTCCCCTCCACCATGATGTTGGTGTCGATGGGCACCGCATTGGACTCCAGGGGCCGAGCCTCAGAACTCTGACACTGGATCTTCCCACACTTGGCATCTCTGAATCGAGATGGGAGGAAGAAAGGGAGAGAGAATCAGAGGCAGGGAGGAGCTGGGACAGAGAAGCACTTCAGTTTGTCTTGAGCATGCCAGTAGGCTGGGAAGGGGAAGCACACAGGGGCAATCTGTGTGCTCTAGGGACCCACCAGGAGAGACTTACATACACGCAGGCCAAGGCCTGAAAACAAGGCTCTTGTCCTCGAGCAGAGCAGACCAAAGAGCTGGTCTTAGAAATCCTCTTTCCTGAAGGACAGCTGCCCAAATGAGCAACCTGCCCCTGGATACCTGGTGCCCTCCAACACCAACGGGCTCCAATCAGAAGCCCAGTGCCATTCCAGTTCCCCATTCTCCTCACCCCTGCATGCATACACTTCTTAGGCCCTGTCAATGCTCCCTCTTGTATCTATCCTAATTCACGCCACCAGTTTCTCTGACCTACATACCAGGAGACTCATCTCTCTGCTTCCAGCCTTCCCCACAGGAGCCTAACTGTTCTCAAGTCAAAAATCCAAGCTCTCCAGTGATACATTCAAGGCTTTTCATGATCTGGGACCTGCCTCATTATCCAGGGTCATTTCTCAGCAGCAACCTCCCCACTTCTCCCCAACACTGTACTTTATTTCAAACTGTTACCAGTTCTTCCTACCACCAATGGCCCTTACTAATCTCGCTAGGACACTCTTCCATGTACCAGCACCAACCCCACCCTGTTCAACGAGATAATTTTTCCAGATCACAGCTTAGGTATAACTTCCTTTTGGAAAGCAAGTTGATAATGGGAATGTAGTAATTCCCATTATCACACTGTACTATTCATGAAAAGTTCACTGGACTCAGCAGAGTACCTGGCACGTGGTAAACCCACCACAGAAAGTGGATGGGTGTATGGATGGATGGGTAAGGAAATGAGTGATGGTATTCAGGTGAGGATATAATTAGCACCCAAGAGGAAGGGTTCCCTGTCCTACTGTGAGAAGGTCCCCAAAGGAAATTTGATCAGCTTTCAAGGAAGCATGGCCACCCACACCCCTCTCTGAACTCTGTAGGGCTGATGGCGCCTTGTCACACAAAGGCTCCCATTGACTTATTTCTTTGTCCAGCTCCAGGCCCACCATGCTACTGAGTGGGCAGGAGTGAGGAGGCCTAAGTGGAATTGCTGTCAGCCCTCAGCTCCTGGATTCTGTCCCTGGTCATCACCTCAGGTTGCACTTCTTGTGTATCCCATTCATGTCCTTCCCGCAGTTTCCAAAGGTGTCCCCTGCCTCATTCACCTTCTCGAAGCAGAGATCAGGAGCAGGCCGGGCCCCTGGGTGGGCAAGAGACAGCCATCAGTACAAAAGCCAGCCTTAGCAGGAGTCAGGGCTTCCAAAAAGCAAAGCTAACCCATTGCAGAGGGAGTAATCAGCTTTCTTGTGTTCCCAGCAACATTCCCCCACCCCCACTTACTCGAGACTGACTCGGACAGGAAGGCTCTTTTTTTTATTATTTTTTTTAAAATCAAACTAACTGAAGCTTTACATCTGTGGGAAGGTAATGTGCTAGGCCTTGTCTCTAATGAAGAAGGCCTGCTCCATTTCAGGAATGTTTTAAATAGGTAACACATGCACAAAATTTTAAGTAAAGCATGCTTTGGGAATTTTTCCAATAAACTATTCCAATTCCCACTCCTATACTCTCTAGAGAACAATCACAGTGAACAACATGTATCTGGAGATGGCTGTTGATCTTGTAGACCTAGCTCCTGTCTGTCTTCTACAGAGACCCCACGGAACAGAGGACTGTGGCTGTCTAGCCCCTGGTCTGCATCGTGTTTCACTTCATGTGTCGTGGGAGATGACTTTACTCAGCACAGACACGACTGCTTCCACTGGGTGGGTGTCAGGATTCATCCAGCAGGCTGGAAGGTCTATCAGCTGCAGGGCGTGGCCTTGTGACTGTCTTCACACGGGGTCCAGCAGTGTAAGGGACCCTCCTGGGGAGGAGGCGGCAGGGCCAATGATAAGTGCATTCAACTTCTGCTATCTCAAACCTCTTTCCACAGGGGAGACTGCTCTCTGTTCCTCCACACTCTCTGCATGTTGTGATTATTATTTTTTGTGTGTATGGTCGTAATTATAGTATCGTCATGATTATAGGGCTATAGTAACCTCCCAGTCTTTGCTAACCTGATATATGAAAAATCTCATCTCGTCATAGTTACAAATTGCCTTCACTTAACATGAGTGAGGTTACAGCTCTTGGATTAGGGGTCACTGGCACTTCCTCCTCTGTCTATTCTCTGCCTGTTTTTTTCTTTTGGATTGTTCTTATCTGTTTACCCACTCTGGGAATCGAACTCACCAAGGAATTGGAAGGACTCTGTTCACTGCCCCCTGAACGTCCACCCTGAGAGCCAAGGGGAGGTGGGTTCAGCAGGGGAGGGACACCCCCAGCCTTACCAGGCCCCCACAGCTGCCGACACTGCTCCTGGTAGGTGAGGCACATGCCATTGTAGCAGTAGGCCTGGCCACTCTCACAGGGGGTGCCGTCCATCTGGTAGAAGTTGGTGGGGCAGTGGGGAGATGTTCCCGTGCAGAACTCTGGGAGATCACACTTCCGCTCCTGCTTACGGCACATGGTGCCAGGGGCCAGCAGCTGAGCCCAGGGACAGAAGAAGGTAACAGTCAGCCTCCAGTGAGCCTGCAACCCTCTCCTGAAAGGGCTCATATGTGAGCAGCTCTCTTGGGGGACATTTTCCCATGATCATACTGCACATGATCCCATTACCTCAACCCCCAACCTTCTAACAGGAAAAGAACCTGGTTTCCGGGGTGTCTGCACACATGCTAATTCACTGCCTCCTCACAGCCCACTTGAGAAGTTGGCTAGAACTCCTATTTACACAACAATTCAGTTTACCAAGTGCATTAGTCATAATGGCTACTTCTGTGGAGCCTCCACTTAAGTGCCCAGGACAAATTCACCTCATTTAGCTTCACGATAGTCCTGTATGAGTCATATCCCTGCTGTGCAGACACTTGTAAGGTTCAGCAATGGATCTCAAGTCTCATGGCTAGTGGGTGGGTGAGGACCCAGGTCCACTTAACACACAGGCACACACAGAGAGCTCCTAATACAACACAAATACAAGTTTGTCCATGGACATCGATGTGTGGACCCTGGACCGTGCACAGGAAGCACACACACATTAGCATCCACACCACCTCTCTGATGCACAGAGCACTTAGCACTAATGCTGTCCCATTACTGAGCCGAGCCCTGGGTCACGTCCATACACACTTACTTCATGTGACCCTCACAATACCATGAAATAGCCACTGCCATTGCCTCCTACTGTGGATATGATGACCTGACGGGCACCACATGCTGGGGACAAGTAAAGACTCCGTCCACTTGAGTTTCCAGCCTCCCTAGGGGCTCAGCTTCATGGACATACTCTGTTTTACAGCTAAGGGACATGGGCTCAGATGCCCACATTACACTCCCAGGAGGTGGACCGGGGGTCGCAGGTCTGGGCTAGTCTATCCTCAGATATTTCTCATCGTATGATCTCATTCGTATGTGAAAGATAAAGCAACAAAGGGAATGAATGGACAAAGCAAAACCAAAGCAAAGTCTTAGATCATGAGAACAAAATGGAGATTACCAGAAGGGAAGGGGGGTGAAGGGTGAGTAAATTGTACGGTGGCAGGTGGAAACTACACTTTCAGGGGGGCATAGCATAGAATAGAAGGACTTACAGTGCTTACTGTCAAAATAAAAAAAAAATCATGAACCAGTGTTACCATGATAATAAACACATGGGCCCTCTTTGGTGGTGCAATGGGTTAAAGCGCAGCACCACGAAGCTGGCCACAACTGCCTCAGCATGAGTTCGATCCCCAGCCAGGCGGGTGACCCACAGGGCGTGGCAGACCTCTCCTGTCTCAGCCACTGCTCCCCTCAGCAGTGTACTGCCTGTTCTGCTCTCTACTCTGTCTATGGTGAATCCTCTCACCACCCCTGTACTTCTGACCTTTACCCCAGTTCTGTATGCACATATAAATAAATCTTTAAAAAAATAAATAAGAAATATACATATCCACTTTAAATGTGATTTATAAAATATTGTCATTAGTTTCATGTCGATCCTGCCACCAACTGAGTGGCTAAAAAGTCCTTTTTCAGTATTTGGGATTTCTGGATTTCAGAATCATAGGTGAGGGCTTGTAGTACTCTAAGGATACTATTTGTGACATCAATACATTGACATCAAGAGTGGACTCCATCGTCAGGAAGCCACTCCAGGCCCTTGGCCCCTCTGAGCCCATTTTCTCATTTTTCATTGTGGGTAATAACAGACATCTATCTCCTGAGCCTTTTGTGAGTATGGGCTGAGATAGTACGTATAAAACTGACTGCACGGTGCCTGGCACTTAACGTGAGGCTCATCAACGCTCATCAAAGTTATGACAATAATTATTTTGAGCACTAAGTAACAGGAAGCCTACTCTCTCTGCATACTTCTGTTTTTTGACCACGCAGTCTCCCACTTGCCAGCCTCTGGGGTGGAATGACATTCATGTAAGGACATCAGTACACTTTGTTCCAGAAGCTTCCAGCTCCATGTTCCTCAAACTTGATGCCCTCCCCAGGAGGGACTTCGGCTCTCCACGCCAGCAGGACAGGCTGTGGCGGGGGGCAGAGCAGTGAGCGGACACCCACCTTACACTGGTGGCAGCAGGCGCCATGGGCACACTCGGCTCCTTCTCGGAGGGTGCAGTTGGAGGCATTGCAGCAGGCACTGTCGCATTCCTGGCGAGGCAGAGGGTGAGCGTGAGCCTCCGGGCGGCCAGGGCCTTCGTGTGTCTCTGGAGCCCACGCTCCAGGGGGAGTCTTTACCAAACAAGTCATTTCTGGCTCTCTTGCTAAGGGAACGTGCGTGAAACAGCAGAGTGTACAAATGTGTGCTCACTAGTAAGCTGCAAGCTAGACCTTTTGGGCATGCTTCACACAACCACAGTATCCACAGCTGGACTTGATCTAACATGTACTTTTCTCCTTGTAATCACGTGTCCTTCCAAATGTGCTTTTTAGCATGGCATTGCATTCCATGGACATCCTGGGATTTGTTTTCCTCCTCCCCAAAAGAACTTCAGAGGCTTTCTTCTACTACTGACTGCCCTGCCCCCACTTTCCCTCCCTTAAACAGAGGCTACCAGGAGCAAGGGCCTGCCGGCACAACCTCTGAACAGCGACTATGTCGATTCTGGGACTTGCTGCCTCAGACCTCTCCTGCCACCTGCTGCTCTTACTCTGTGCTCCCTGGCCTGGGTCTTTCCAGAACACAAGGTCTATAGGGCTTCCCTGCTCTCCTCTCCTTCTGCCCACCCCACAGGTCCTAATTCTGACAGTGCGAGATTGAAAAAAATGATGCTTTGCCCCGGTGATGCTGTGTCCTCATCACACACCTGCTACACACACCGGCCTGTCAGGAACCACTTCTTGATCACATGCAGTCTCCATGCACAGGTCCCTCAGGACCCTCACAGCCTGTGGCTCATCCCCATGTCAGGAGGGAACCTGGGCTTAGGCAAGTTCAGGGACTGGACTTGTTCAGGGACTGCATCTGCCTGGGGCCCAAGGGGCTTATTAACCATACCTTAGCTATGGCTGTCTATTGGGGAGACACACCCCACCCCTGATGAAGATGCCTGTCCATCTGTCTCTGACCAGAAGAGGAACAAGATACTTTCCTCCCACCCAGGTCCTGCCATCCTTGGCTCCAAGGAGAAACATGTGCTTTCCCTTCCCCATGATTTCCAAACATGGTTCCTCCTCTACCTAAATGTGCCTCTGCTGAACCTGCACCTTGCTAACTCCAACCTTTGCCTTTGCCCCAAGCAGGGCCAAGTGTCACATGCCCACACTGTCTGGTCCCGGGACCCTCCTGGCACTCAGGTGCTCACCATTTGCCATTTTGGGTCACTGTGTATCTCCCTCACTAAACTGTAGGAGATACAAGGGCAGGCTCCATCCTCCCCTAGCATGTAACATTGCACCCACATCCAGTAACTATTTGTTGAGTAAGCAGCTGCTCTGAATACAGACCAATCAGTAGAACCCACTTTGCGGGCTGCTCCCTGGACCTCCAGATAGCTCAGCTCTACTGCCCGTAGGGTCTAAACCATGGTGGCTGAGCTGTTGACTGTTGTTTTTTTGTTTGTTTGTTTTTTGTTTTTAAAGATTTATTCACTTCCCGTTTTCTAGATACTCAATATAGTATTATTAACTATAGTTGCCATACCATACATTACTCATACAGAATGGGGGTATAGGCCAGAGATGCGGAGGGTGAGAGGATTCAGCCGGGGCAGAGTAGGGAGCAGAACAGGCAGATCGACGAAGTACACTGCTGAGGGGAGCAGCGGGCAGGTCAGGAGAGGTCTGCCACGCCATGTGGTCATCTCCGGGGCAGGCGGGGATCAAACTCATGCTGAGGTGGCTTTAGCTTCTTAGTGCTGTGCTTTAACCCACTGCGCCACTAGGGAGGGCCTTTTTTTTTTTTCTTTTTAATTTATTATGATAGCTGAATGCTGGCATTAAAAAAACAAGCAGGGCCTCCCTGGTGGCACAACAGTTAAAGACAGCACTATCAAGCTATTGCCAACCACTACAGCACAAGTTCAATGCCTAGCTGACCAGGGAGCTGACCCACATAACACAGCAGACCTCTGCTGTCTTGCCTGTTGGTCCTCTCAGCATTGTTCCAGTAGATCCACCTGTTTTGCTCCCCACTGTCTCTGGTGAATTCTCTTACCTGCCCAAACCTCTGGCTTGCACTCCAGCTCTTATATGCATAAATAAATAAATCTTTTTTAAAAAAACATCAAGCAAGGAAACCATAGAGAAGATGATCAAAACTTGCAGTCTTTTCCAGGTATATAGGCCCTTTACCTCACTATTGCTGCAGTTACCCACGTATTCATCCCCAAATTGTTGTGCCATACTTTAAGAAAAGGGATGAAACTAGCTTGTTCTGCTTTTTTGCAGGACAAGCATCTGTTTAAAATGACAGTGGCTGGCCACAGACTACCCCTCTTTCTAAAGACCAGAAGGAAGGAAAGCCCCTCCCCACCAATCAACGCAATTCTGCTCTTCTTCCTCCCACAACCCTTCTCAGACTGACAGCATTTCCTATGTCCGCTTTCCATCATCCCTTCTCCAGGCCAAGTCGCATGGACTTGTTATTTTAAGTATCCTCAGAAGGCCCAGGTTCAAGTTCATGTATCCGGCTACATGGTCTCCAGAATAAATTCAGTGCAGCTGCGGCACTGGGAAAGCCATCTGGGGCCCCACTGGGGAAGAGGCTGTGCTTACTGGTTAGACCAGACACTCACATGAGCACTTCACCCTGATTTGGACACAAACAGTGCCAGCCCCAAACTAGTGGGTGTGGGGGTAGTACAGAAAAGGCTTACTCCTCACATCTTACTTGTGATGGGATCTTCAGTGGCCAGGTGCAGGACATGTTTATGACAAAGAAATTTTCAGTTGCACATTCTTTGACTTTGAGGTTTGAGACCAATGCATATTCTTGCCCCCTCACTAACGCCATCAGGACACCTTACCTCTTCCTCTCCACAGTCACACTCTTCTCCGTCCTCCAAGTAGCCGTTCCCACACCTCTGGCCCCCGTAGATTCTGCTGGTGTCAGGCATATTGGACAGACACATCCCACCGCCTGACTGCAGATACCTGTCTAGCTCCTTCCGGTTGCACCCGTTGAACACACGCGGGAAGGGGTGCCTGGAAGAGGACAGAGACAGGATTAGCTGGGAGTCTAGGCATCAAGCAGCCTGAACAGTTGTCAGTCCTGCCATGTCGTGAGGCTGCCTCCATCTGTGTCAGGGCCCCGCATCTAAAGCACATACCTGTATCCCCTCAAGGACATCACCAAAACATTGACTAACAATTCTCTCTACCAATTAAGAAATGTCAACCCCCTCATGATGTTTTCTGCCTCACTCTGATGGAGGAGGTATGCAAGCACCAGAGGCAGCCATGTCTGCCCTTTAGGTGAAGAAGATGTAATAAATTAAGGTTAGTGAGTGTGATGCTCACTAACAATAGGTCTCTTGAGCCTTCGAGCTAAAAAAACAAAACAAAAACAAAAACTAGCAAATCAAACTTTTCCTGAAACTGATATTAAATAGAGATTTTCTTGAGATAGATGGTGAGGCCAAGAAAGGCCAAGATCATGGGTTTAATTTCATTGCTGGACTGGTGTCCTGATCTCCGCACCAGCTGTGTCCATTCAGGCCTCTTCCCCATCCTGCCCTCACCCTCCCTACCAGACTCACCCGGTGGCGGCGGCCATGATGCAGCCCCCGTCTGCGGCGCTGGCTGAGCAGCAATCTGCAGAATCATGGCTCATGCCGAAGTTGTGGCCCATCTCATGGGCCATGGTGGCAGCCACACCTATGGCGTTCTCAGAGTGATCCTGCTCAGGGGCAGAGTCAGGTCAAGAACACAGCCCCCCAGCCCTCCCAACCTGCCTTTTCTTTAACCAAGGTGGCTACTGACCCACGAGCACTGAGCATGTGGCTCAGTGAGAAAGTCTGGGCTCCCCCCACCCATTGTTGTTTACTTCCTTTGTTAGCTCCTTTTCTAACACTCCCCCCAGTTGTTGTTTGTTTTGTTTTGTTTTTTAAAGATTTATTTATTTATGCTTACAGAACTGGGGTACAGGCCAGAGGTGTGGTGGGTGAGAGGATTTACCAGAGGTAGAGTGGGGAGCAGAACAGGAAGATTGACAAAGTACACTGCTGAGGGGAGCAGCAGGCGGGTCAGGAGAGGTCTGCCGCGCCATGTGGGTCAGCTCCCTGGCTGGGAAGGAACTCATGCTGCAGTGGCCTCAGAGAGCTTCATAATGTGGTGCTTTAACCCATTGCACCACCAGAGAGACCCCACATTCCCCCCAGTTTTACTGAAACATAATTGTAAAAGCCTCAGAGAGCTTCATAATGTGGTGCTTTAACCCATTGCACCACCAGAGAGACCCCACATTCCCCCCAGTTTTACTGAAACATAATTGTAAAAGTTTCATGTGTACATGATAATTTGATATGATATATGCACATATTAGGAAATGATCACTGCAGCAAGTCCAGTTAACAAGTACCACCTAGATGGAGGCTAAGAGCAGAAAACTTGGGAGACCAGAAACCAGAGGCTGAGATAGAAATGATTTACATAGTCATTAAACAAGCGATAGAAAAGTAAACTATCTAGAAGTGCAGGCTGAGGCCCAGACCAGAGGTGGGAATGTGGAGATTGGGGGCCATTGTAAAAAAATCCTTGGCATTTCAAATCTACCTAGTCACACCAAATATAGAGAAAATCCATAGGCACCAAACCCAGAAATAATTAGGCAGCAGCTAACTATCCCACAAAGCTTTGGGATAGCTATCCCACAAAGCCTTCAAAGAGAAGAAGGCTATATCAGTGCAATCGCTGCACTGACACAGAGCTGTTCTCCTGCCTGCCTGTGACTGTGTAGGCCTCTCTTTTGCAAACCCACCCCTTTCAGGGGCAGCTCTTTCTGCCTGCTTCTGTCTGTGCAAGCGTCCTTTCCTCCACTTCCTTCACAAACCTACATTTTGGTTTTCACTGAGTGTCTCTGCTTCATAGAAAAACTAGCCATGTGCCACTGAAAGGGGAGCTCTGGCGAAACTTTTCTCAGAGGTAACCCACGGACCCCACTCTCTGACCCCAACACCTCTCCAAGCCGACATCAATCTCACATAGTTATACATAGTTAATGTTTTTAAAGATTTATTCACTTCCCGTTTTCTAGATACTCAACATAGTATTATTAACTATAGTTGCCATACCATACATGACACCCCCCCAGACGTATTTATCTTAGCAATGGCAATTTGTGCTTTTTGACCATCTCTGCTGCCCACCCCCAACCTCTGCTGCCCCCCACCAGCAAAGTGATCAGATTCTATAAGTTGGGTTCTCTTAAATCCCACATATAAGAAAGAGCATACAGTGGTTGTCTTTCTCTGTCTGACTTGAAAAAAAGTTGGTTATTTATATACCCTATGCTTTATAAGTTGAATGTTTAGATGGTATTTAGTGCTGTTAAATAAATACTAGGCATTGCTTCCACTATACAGCTGCTATACATCTGAAGGTGTGAACCTGTATCCCTAAATCATATACATGTTGCAAACTAACATTATTTCAATAAAAAAGATACAACAGAATACTGTCAGATTCCTCCCCCACCAAAAAAAAATAAAAAAAGAAAGCCCATTCTTTTAACTACTAAGGGGCATCTGTCTAAACACAGGATGGACAGGATGAAAGACAAATGGGTAGCAGGGCTCCTGATCTCTAGTTAGCAGGTCAAATGAACAGTCAAAACATTCTCACTGAGAAGATTTTCATCGTAGGTAATTCCCACCTGCCCATGAGCAGGCTAACTGCTCATATCAGCATAGTTACATAACATCTGACCTGGAACACAAGACCTCTGTTATCTCTGCTGCCCCCAGCACCTGGTTTGGAACAACCTAGAGATTTAGGCTCCTGAATGCATCACCTCCAAGGTGCCCCAGAGTTGGGAAACCGGCGATAAAGCCCAATGATTGGACATTCACCCCATACTTACATTTTCTAGAATTCAATGACTTCATTTTTCTTTTTCTATTCAATGACTTCATTTTAAACAACTACCTTTCCTGATGTCAAAAACATCCCCCACCCACCCCTAGTGTCACAAGTATAACATATTCATAAGGTGCTGTCCTGTGCTCTGAGGTGGCGCCTGTCGCAGCCCCCGCCCGCATGTTGCTGAGACTTACCATGTTGACTCCGCCGGACTGGAACCTGTCGCACATGGCCATGAGGGGTGCCAGGCCGATGGTGGTGCCATGGAAGGACATGCCCCTGCAGGAGGGAAGGAGAGAAGTGCCTCGAGAGGACCTGGAAGGAAGTTTCCAAAGTGCCCAGGAGCGGGGGGACCCCATGGTGTCTCCTGGCCCCACTGACATTCCCAGATCAGTCCCAGGGTAGAGGTCCTGGGATTCTTGGCCTGGACAACTTCCAGAACACCACGCCTCTCATTTCCGCTCACCTACTCTCTCACCACTTCCAGGGAAACAGAAAAAGCAAACATCCCCCTTTTCTCACAGTGCACCAAGCACCCCCTCCCCGGAAGGAAATGGGTGGCTTGCAAAGCTGCAGCCCACCCCAGATGTAGAGGAAATGGCAGAGGGAGGGAAGCAGAGCACAGGCACTGATGGTTAAGTGAATCATGCCCACTTCCTCCAGCTGTTGGGGAAGCTGCTCTGCAGTCTGTGCACAGGGGCAGGGGGAGTGAGGCAGCGGCTGTGGGGGCTGAGGTTTCACCTCCACATCACTCCAGGGTCAAGGGAACGGATGTGCCATATCAGGAACCTCCCAAAGTACATCTGGGTGCCCCAGCGGATGTTTCTGTCCATTTTGCAATTCTGATGCAATCTGCCAGCTACTTGCCAGCTGAAGACACCTGTCTCTCATCTGTATTCATCCAGGGCAGGAGCTACTGAAGTGCCAGTTTTCATGCAAGTGACAAACATATCATTTACTTAAGGGGTCTGTGTGGACATTCATTGCAAGTTACTTTTACAGCTCTCCACTTGCCTCCCCATCTACACCATGACATCTTTGAGACATGAGAATATTGTTTTGGAGTTATTTAAATTGGACAGCACAGTTGGTGCTTAATAAATGTTTGCTGAACTCAAGGCAAATGTATCTAAGAGATACAACCTGCAAAGGAATAAGCAAAAAAAGATACAAACCCCACTTCCCAGCACTCCATCCTGCACTCCTCCAGCTTCCTGTACTCACCTAAGGGACCCCTCCCTGAAGCCTGCCTGTGAGGGATACTGGCACGTGTAGCAAAAGAGCCAGGTCCAGACAAGCCCCTAGAAAGGCTGTCTCCCAGCGGCCTGTGACCACAGCCCTTCCCAAGCACACAGCCAGTTGTGCCGGACGCTCAGCCGGACAGCTGAGTCTGACTTTCTCATCGATATTGTAGTCATTTCTGTGTGCTGTTATGATCCAGACTTTTCCACGTTTCCCAGTATGTGCTGAGAAATATGTGATTATCGTTTGGACGCCCTAGCACAACCAACACACGCCACTGGAAGAGAGGCAGAGATGGCCTGACACGGCACCCAGGGAGGGGACGGACGGCCAAGGCTGCCAGGTAGCAAGGCCACTCACGTAATTAACTGTGCATTGTCATGCTTCTTCTGGGCAAGCAGCTTGCGCCTCCAGTGAAGAAACGACCAGAGGGTGGAATAGGGGTTCTCAGAAACTTCACACATGTTTCCATGTGTCCACACTTCCAAGCCCACCAGGGCAATCCGGATTTTCAAGGACCGGTAAAACTGCAAAGGCACACAGAAAAGGCACAGCATCACCCATCACCCCACTGCAGACATCCACACAGCGTCACCCATCACCCCGCTGCAGAAATCCTAGTCCCCTCTGCACCTCAGTGCTCAGAGCCAAAACCAGACTTCCCTTCCGGAGCATAAGTTCCCTGGGGGATGGGACAGCTGGGCTCCTAGTTCCACTTTCAGAGCGGGTGTCCTGAGAGGGATGCACAGCCTCCCTGGGCAGAGCAGGGTGACTGGGCTGAGAGGAAGGAAACCAACATGGACACAAACTAGCATCCCGAAGTGAACAAGGCATTCCTGTGGAACAAGGGAAAAGGGTCCATGTGTCCCAAAATGCCCAGGTGACAGGAAGGCAGACAGAGCTAAGTAGCCTGGCTCAGGAGGAGAATCCACGCCCCACACTGCTTAGCTCCGGAGGGTTGACACATTATACATCCAGTCAACTTGCTCCCAGGAACTTGTGGGGAGACAGCTTCAGATGCAGGGAAATATCAGTGGATTTCATGGGAAATTCTAATTTTCCTGTTTGGTGCCAGGTCAATTATTACAGAATATATGAGGGGATAGGTCCCCATTTGAACTCGCCTCACTAGAGAATTTTGTAAAGACTTAAACTTGGCATTTTGCACAGTTAAGAAAAAGCATTTTGGGCCAGGGTCATGATTCAGCAATTTAGTTTTAGTTCAACAATAGTTCATTTCAAACAGCTGGGTCAGCCAGCCTCCCAAGAGGCGCTGCCTTCCCCTGGCCCAGCCAGGGGCGACCCACACCAGCCAACACATTTCTTTACAGACCCCCCAAGCCAGCAGGCAGGGTTCCTCCTGAGGACCAGTGTTTGCTGCCACCTCTCTTTTCCTTTGGCTTTTCATCAGCACCCTTAGTTCTGGCACCCGGACAGTGGAGGGGTCAGGGTGGGGAGACCCAGCCAAGTTTTCCACCTGCCAGGCCTCCAGAACAATGGATGTCACGTGGTAAGAGCAAGTCACCTCCTGCCCCCTCTACCCCGCTCAAGGCCTCCAGGGAAATGAGCTTTTCTTGTTTTCCCAGATGTTGAGTGTTTGGGTTGTAGAATCATTCGGATGTTATTGTTGAGAGAGCGTGGAGCATGGATGCCTGGATTGCATCCCTGGAGCCTTTCCTTCTCGCAAGTGCCAGCATTTGACTTTCTCCTGCCATCTGTCCCCAAGCGGCATTGCCAAAGCCACTGGGACAAAAACGTGGGGTATAGACCCTTGTACCTGATAACTACAAAACACAGCCAAATTTACTCGTAATCTCCCCCCTCCCCAAAATTGAATTTTCTTTATCGCTAATGTTTAGGGGAAGAAAAGAGATTTGCTCCTTAGAACTGGGTGCAGGGCACCCTAGAAGGACCAGAGTTTAGCTGCAGGAGTTTTGAGTAACCTGAAAATGTGTAATAAAAGTTATAAGATCCTGGGCCCTCCCTGGTGGCGCAGCGGGTTAAAGCACAGCAGTAAGAAGCTAAAGCCACTTCCGCATGAGTTCGATTCCCACCTGCCCCGGAGGTGACCCACATGGCGTGGCAGACCTCTCCTGACCCGCCCGCTGCTCCCCTCAGCAATGTACTTCATCGATCTGCCTGTTCTGCTCCCCGCTCTGTTGCTGGTGAATCCTCTCACCCTCCGCATCTCTGGCTTGTACCCCAGTTCTGTATGAATAAATAAATAAATCTTTTTAAAAAAAGTTATAAGATCCTTAACCACACTAAAATCTACCGTTTGAGAGGGAAGTGGGGGTGAAGGGAGGAGCGGCCCCATGAGCTGTGGTGGAGGGTCATGGGTGTGCTGGTGGTGGGCATGTTATGGTAACATTTAAAGTGGTATGAATCTGCACCCTGACATCCTATACGGTGTTGTAATCCAGTGTTACCTCACCCCCCAAAAGGGGAAGAAACAAAGACAAAAACAGACTTAGTTATATCCATTTTCATATCTATGTAATTCAATTTGGTCTTTTCTTCTATTAAACATAAATAAACAAGCAAACAGATAAATAACAAAATCTACTTTTTGAAACAATATACAACCAGCCAGTTAAAAAGCTAAATGCCATGGCAATGAAAAGACAAGGGGGCCCTCTCTGGTGGCACAACAGGCTGGGACACAGCACTGCAAGCTGGCCACAGCTGCTTCAGTGCGAGCTCGATCCCTGGCCCTGGAGGTGACCCACATGGCGCAGCAGACCTCTCTTGGCCCACCCGCTGCTCCCTCAGCAGTGTAATTCAGTCAGTTGGCCAGTTCTGCTCCCCACTCTGTCTCTGGTGAAGTCTCTCACTGCCCCTGCACCTCTGGGGCAGATTTTTTTTTAAATAAGTCTTAAAAAAAAAAAAAAAAAAGACAAGGAAGGGGTGTTGTTATTCCGAGCTACTTACTCTACTGCATCCTACCTCTTCTCAGATAAACAGAATAGTTCCAAGTCCCTCTGTAGCCTATTCAAATAAAATTCGGGAATTTGAGTGTTTTCTAAGAACACAGTGTAAAAGGGCCTGACCCATGAAAGGTCACCACCACGCAGCCTTCCTCAGAGGGTGAGGGTATAGGCTGGCCCCAAACAACCCACCTCTCAGCTGTAGGGGCTGTCCACTCCTGTGGTGCTGCCAACCTCAGTTCTCCCCCAGGGCAGAGAACCCCTGTCTTTATACTCAGAAGGAACCTCTTCCAGTGGCTCTTCCAGGTCTGCCACGGCAGGGTGCAGGAGGGGGCAGAGGACAGCAGCCAGTGTCCCCATCCCTGCGCTTCAGCTTAATCTGTTTTCATCTGACTCTCAGAGCAGATGTTGGATTGAGATTTCATTTCAAAAAATTCCACCAAGAAAGTAAAAATAACCAGAAACTGGCTGATGAAAAGCCAAAGGAAAACAGAGCTGATTGAGGTGAACCTCTCTATTTGTAAATTTAAAAGCAAAATTACAACCCAAAGGACACTTACTTGCCCCAGGTCACCCAGCTTAGGGCTGGGTTTTGCCTCAGTGCATTGCTGTCACCTCTCAGCGGGGCGGCCAAGGAAGATGGAGCGTTTGGGGCCCTGTGCTCTCCTTCCCTGCACGCCACAAGGTGCCTGCACCTTCCCACAAGTACACACCTGGTCTCACCTTATCAACGTAATTGGCGATCTCCATGAGCTTGTGTCTGGTGGCGTCCTGGTCTCGTCGATTCTTCTGAAACTAAATGGGACAAGAGGACTGAGGTGAGGCCCCAGAGCCCATTCCTCCTGTCTTCACCACCTCTGCCTTCTACAAGCATGCATTTTATATAGCAAGCTAATGGTGCCACCTTCATCAGCACAGTGTCATCTCAGGGAGCACAGATTCTGGGTCACACCCATCCTGCTATCCCCAACCACTGGCCGTGTGCTGGGCACATGTGGACAAGCTATCATTATGTAGTGCATTGAACTGTCTGCCTCTAGCCTCTCTGAAATTGATAGGGCCTCCTGCAAACTCCCACTGGAACTCAGAAGAGGGCCCCATCAATCCTGGCCACTGCAGCATGAACCACTTTCTCATGCCATCCGTCCATGGATCGTTCAACTCTGGGTAACTGTCACTAAGCCCCTGTTGTGTGGAAGGCAGGCACCCGGAAGGGTGAGTTCCTGCAGATGTCAAAAAAAGCAGAGAGAGGACCAGAATCACAATAGGAGTTGATTCTGACTTGTAAGGCAGCTACAACAGAAAAAAGGCTGAGAACACAGCACGGAAACAACAGTGATGAGCATCTGAGAGATGGGCATAGATGGGGTGCTGGTGACAAGGACCAGCCAGATGGACAGGCCATGTCTTTCAGGGAGAAGAGCTGGGCCGGGGGGTGGGGGAGAGGGGTTGCGGGGGAGGATGAAGCCAGCTCATGAGGCTCAGCAGAAGAGAGTGCTGTGCTCAATTAGCAATGTCTGCCAGGGAACCAGGATAGGTGGCCAGGTCTGTCTGGCTGCCTCGCATGCTTCACTCCCTTCAGCTACAGTGATGGAGGACAGCTTCATCATGGAAAGATAAAACCTGCCACCACTTCACCTGAAATCCACCCGTGGGGGCATGCCTGTGCTTGCCACGGTGCCACCAAAACTGATGCCTCTTTGATTTACCCTGAGCACACAGCACATGGGTAACTTCAATTCTAAACCTTTATGTCTCCCTCCACCCCATGAGAATATCCAGGTGAGAGATAAAAATAGCAGCCACTAGGATATTCGTTGGGGAGTGGGTGTGCTCAAGCCCTGGCACAAGGGAGAAAGTCACCACTGCCCCCCTCCACTGCTTTTGGACTTCCCGGGGCTTCCTGGACAGCCACTCTCCAGGTCATCTCCCTGTCACCACACTTTCTACAGGGTTAGTGAATGTGAGGTGCTGTGACTTTGACCCTCCCCTGCTGTAATCCTGAAATGGTTCTTTATGGAGCCACCCCTTCTCTAAACAGGCCTCACCACAGAAAGAGGTGTGGCATTGAGTGACCGCTGGAACTTCAGATTGAGTGATCTTTCAAATATCTTAATTCCATCTTCAAAAGGCTGTTGATAATACCAACACCTTTAAAGACAGCATGTTCTCATGAGAAGTCTGACACAAGAGCTGGAAACTTTCTGTACAGGCCAGGCAGGGGTCATATCAGGCTCCGGAGCCATATTGGCTCTATTGTCTCCCCTGGGCTCCTCTGATGTGCAGCACAGCTTCAGCTTTCTACTTCCCAGTTGTCACAGGAAGCATGTGGTGCATCTCCTGGCCTTCCACATCTCACCTGCATGCCCCTTCAACAGTTTTCCTGGTCCCTCCTGCAACTTGCCACAAAGCCCTGTCACATTTTCTAACAATCCTGCAGAGAGCAACGCCATCCACATGAGAGCCCAGATGAGCCGCCTGTCCTGTCTCACCCAGGGTATAAATCAGACAAGGCGTCCCCCAGCCTCCTCACCCCCCAGTCTGTACACTCTCTTAGATTAATTAATTGTCAGGAAGATATTGTCCTGCAGAGGACGCAGCCCATGGAGGATGGGATGGGAGAGTCAGGGAGGGGCCCATCCTCTGAGGTTACAGTCCCTCCTTCCCCTCCCAGGAATCATGAATCATTCTCAGCCTTCAGCAGAGCCCTTGAAAAATGAGGACTGTCCCTCCCCATCCTCCTGCTTATCTGTCCACCCTCCCCACCTGCGCCCCACCCACCGTAAATCACTCCCCCGCCTCAAACCCATAACAGGGAGCAACTTTAGATGATACCACGGTCCTTGGGGGCACCATATCCTCTAGGGAGCTTTCTCTGACCGTGGGCTCAGAGGCTGAGGAGGCTCAATTTCTCTCCCCGTCTCCTTTTCCAGTTTCCAGACTTACACCAATGAGTTTAAATCCAGGCCTCAAGATTCTGCTGGGGGGTTGCAAGCCTGAAGGGAGTAGTACCCCAATTTGCAGTAAGGTAACCAGGTTTCTATATACTTAATTAGTAGGGTCCCAGGAGCTTTAGTCCCAACAAAGCAATCTGTTGAAAAAAGAATGACCCCAGGACACTGATGGTAGATCGAGGCTACAAAGCTTAAAAGCAAAACTGTCCTGGAGTGGGCAGCCCCAGCTTCCTCCCAGCACCCCCTCTTTAGGCAGTCTTTTGGGCAGAGGCTGTAATGTTACCTTCTCCCAAAGCCCTGGGCCCTCAGTTTCTAACTCAGCTTGGATTTTCCTCCCAACCTCACTCCTCCATTCCCTTTCCCCTCCCCCGCAACAAACCAGTCTTTGGAAAGGAAAACAAAAGAAAAAGAAAAAAAAGCGTGCTTGAAAAACCAACATTGACCTCAATTAAAAAGCAAAACTCTCCTCAAAGTGAACATAACGTTCCCTCGGCCTGAAGTGCCCTTCACTTCCACTTCTCGGTCCAGCTAGCAACGCCTTGTCCTTGAAGTCAGCTGGAGGGCCACTGCCTCCTGCAGCTAACACTCAGGCATCTCTTCCTGCTCTTCATCTCTAGAGCTGCACCCACCACCCCGCAATGCCTCCAGGGCCCCTGCTTGTGGACAGAGGCCTGGGAGAGCAGAGAGATGTGGCAAATGAGGCCTCTGGGAGAGCTGGTCACTGAACCTCCAATGAAACTGAGCTGTGGTGAGTCCTGTCCTAAGGGGGCCCCAGGCCAGTGGGCAGTGTTAGCGCATTGCCAGTATGCAGCCCACTTCACCTTCCACGCCCAGGAGATGTGCTCAGCTCCGTGCTGAGTCTCTGTGTAACGTGGAAAGAAAAAGCCAAATATGGCCAATCTGGACAAAAATGGGTGAACATCATGGCTCAAAGACACTGTCCCCAATCCTAAAGCCACGCTGCAGTCCCCACGATCTGCCTCCAGGCCCTGGTACATCTGAGCAGTAAACCTGCCTGGACCCATGGAGTTTTGTGCAGTTAATGTCGGCTCCGGGGTGCCGGTGGGGCTGTCTTACCCAGAGCTAAATCTCAGTGCCAAGCACTGCATGGATGCAGTGACAGAAAATCAAGAAATCGTGGATGAGTAAATGAAATCAAAAAGTGCAAGAGGGGAGTGCTCACCAAATCTTAGAAGCCAAGGCCCTCTGAGCCTGTCTGATTTAAGAAATATGGAGGCAAAGGCTAACTAGCTATTTCGTTAGTTCAGTTGCTCTCAAAACTATCTGCATATCAGGATCCCCCAGAGAGCATTTTAAAATATGGATCTTTGGACCCCAGTCCCACAGTTTGGGGTTCAGTAGGGCTTGGGTGTGGCCACAGAATTTGTAGAATCAGCATTTCTACAAATTCCCAGGAGCTACTGATGCTGTTGCTCTGGAGCCACGTTTAGGAGCCTCACGAGGCATCGTGATTCTAAGGATGGGCATGAAAATTATATTCCATCTGATGAATGAGAAGACACCTGCTGTATTTGCAAAGAACCTTTTAAAAAAATTTTCTCTTCGGGCCCTCCCTACTGGTGCAGCGGGTTAAAGCATAGCACTCAGAAGCTAAAGCCACTTCTGCCCCGCCCCGGAGGTGACCCACATGGCATGGCAGACCTCTCTTGACCCGCCCGCTGCTCCCCTCAGCAATGTACTTCATCAATCTGCCTGTTCTGCTCCCCACTCTGTCTCTGATGAATCCTCTCACCACCCCTGCACCTCTGGGCCTGTACCCCAGTTTTGTATGCACAAATAAATAAATCTATTTAAAAAAATTTTTTTTTCCTTAGAGAATTCATGGACTCCTTGAAATATATACCACACCTAAAGGTCTTCCGAACCAGGCTAAGAAATACTGAACCAGACTAATACTCATTGTCCTGATTTTCCATCTGATAATGTATTGAGCTAGAATAGATTTTCCTTGTCCCACCCCTCTCCACCTACATTTACACAAGCAGAAAAAGACCCCACTGATGGAAGGTCAGTCATGTCATGCCTGAACCGGCATTTCCCCCAGGAGGCTGGAGGCCTGGAATAGACACCAACACTCACAGCCACCCTTACCTCTGCGTAGTCAGCCACAAGGTAAAGCTCCACGAACCTCATCGAGTGTAAATCTTCCCTTTTCATCTAAGAAAGAGATAGAGGCAGATCAGGATTCTAGAAAGAGTGGACAGGTCTCACTTAGAAAAACTGCTAAGGAATGGCACCGTATGGTGAGCTGTGGGCCACCACTCTAGTTCTGTCCCTGAGCCCTGAGCTGGCCAGGGTGCCAGGGTGAGCACCTCCCCTGGGCCTCTCTGCCCATCACCCTGGTTACTTTAGCTCCCTTCTCCAAAGTCATGAGCAGGGCTATGAGCACAGGCAGAACAGGGAACAATATGCGGCTGGAACGAGGTTCCCCAAACATTTCCACCATACCCCTCTAATTTCGGGACACAAAGACAAGCATACCCTGTGTGTGGAAAGCGGGGTTCCAATAGGAGAGGCATATATTCTCTCCTGACAGTTTCTAAAATCAGCATCTCAGAGTACTTTAGCATGTAATGTTTCTTCCCAAAGCAGTTATGTTATCAAAGCAGGTGGTCTCGTGTTCAGTTATGATTTAGAAGAAAAGTGGCTACATCCTTCTGACCTGCTCCCTTCCACTTAGAAACGCCCCCAGATGCAAAGGAAGGATTCCGGAGGAGCGGGGAGTAGGGGCCCATCCCCTGGTGGCTACCTGTGCTGAGACTCACCCTGCGAGGCCGATGCTTGGTCTCGCTGGCAAGCTGAAGGACCCCATCCCTGGCAGTGGGATTGGTGTGCTGGAACCCACATTTCCCCGGAGGCAGATGGAGATGTTCAGATCTGTAAATGAGGTGGTGGTCCTCGCTGCCCGGGAGGGGCTCGATGATATAGCTGAGGTTACTGCTTATCATGATCAGCCCTCTGTTGACAGAAGAAACAGAACTCTGGTCAAAGATGATAGTCTGGGAAGAGTCTTGCTTGTGCCTCAGAGTTCCCTAAGTCAAGTGACACAGCTGGTTTTGATCGTCGGTTCTGAACCTTAGGAGGGGGTCGTGGGTGTTTCTGTGAGAAACTGGTGCTGACTCAGACTCTCTCCCCAGAAAAGTGCATATCCTTAGGAGGCAGTGCTCAGCTTTAGGATACCGAAGGTTAGCACAGAGAAGTCCAGCAGTTTTTCTAAATGAGGCCCAGTCCACTCTTTTCTAAAAATGGCTCAACTGTTTACAATACTTATAAGGATGGTGGGACCCAGATTCTAAAAAACTTCCCAAACCCTAACGTGATGGTTGACAAATCACATGTGGAAACTTTTCAGACTCGAAGATATATGTGGTGGGAGAAAGAGCACCAGTTTGGGGGTGAGCTTCCGGTCCTGGCGCCCACATTCAACAGTCAAATACTCTTCAACAAACCTCTTAAATCACTCCAAGCCTCCTTCTCCCCATGTGTAATATAAATGGTATTTCACCAACTGAAGACGACTCTCAGACAGTGAAGGGGAAAGGCAGCTCATACTTGAACTTGGAGGCTGATGCTCAAGGCAGCACACAGCCCCCAACCTCCCCAGTCAGCAAGGCAGCTCTGAGGTGGCACCCACCAGCCAGCACCTTGGCAGCTCCTTTTTCTTGGAGAGAGGCCAGCATGGACCACAGAATAATGGTGGGAGTTCATTCCTTGCATTCTTTCCCTCAGCCTATACAAAGTCAGAGATAATCCCCATCCTTACTAATTCTCTGCTAAGAACCACAGCCATTTCTCATTCACGTGACAAACATTTCCTGAGTGCCTGCTATCACCAGGGACTCTCGACCACTGCTGAGGGTGGAGTAGTGAACAAGACAGAAAAGTGCCTGCCCTCATGAAGCTCAGAGTCAGAACCTGGGAATGAAACACTACAGCGTACAACAAGGACAGCAGACAAGCTCACCGGCCCAACTCAGGGCACAGCTGCACCTCCAGGAGTGTCCAGAGGGCTTCCGGAGGCTGAAGCTGGACTCACCGAGTCCACGCGCCCTCCAACACGGTCAGTCACCTACGGAAGGAGAGCGCAGACCTGTGGCACTGGCCCAGGTCACTGGTCACTCAGAGTGATGACACCATAGCAGAGGAAGACCAGCAGTGAATCCCGAATGGCCAACACTACTTTGTGCCCCGAACCTCGGCCTCTCCCCTACCCAGAAAGCTCAAATGCTAACCTTGGAGTTTGACTCCAACAGTTCAAATCAGCAGGACCTCTGCCTTCAGACTGTAGCATCCACTTCGGGCCCTGGGCCTTGGTGCAGCCAGCCCAGATTTCTCCCTTCAGGAGGAGCCTATGATGTTCCCAGGAGGGCTGGTTCTAGTTCTAATCAGCTGCAGCCCTTCCTGGAATCCACGCCCGGGCTGATCTCATTCCAGTACCAGGGGGCCCGACAACCTCACCACTGACACAATCGTTCTAAGGCCAGTCCCACAGCCAGACACCCCAGGTGCTCCCCACATTGCTGGGCTTGGAGTGGGTAAAGAGCAAGGGTCACATCCACCCACAAGTCCAGACAGGAAAGGGCAGGGGCAACACAGCTGCAGGCATCCTGTTCCCAAGCCACCTCCTCTTCTCGGCTTCCGGGCCCCTCCTGTCACCTCAGTTTCTCCTAACGGCTATAAACGTTATAAACACACAGGACACAAACCAGTTAATGGCTTTGCTGCCTCAGACTGTGGCTGCAGTGATAACACTCAAGGGGTGGAATGTTCCAGAAGAGTTGACTGGGCATCGCTTGATCAAGCTTGGAGCCAAAAAAGAACAGAGCCCGGTGACTCAGTAGCTATGCTGGCTACAAACAATGGCGGTTCTGCTATGGACGAGGCCCTGGGCTGGTATTGTTCATACCATCCTCACACGTCATCTACACAAAGGTGAAAACCACGGCTCCGTGAGGTTAAGACCCCGAGCCTCACGGGACACAAGAGGAAGACAAAGGATTAGAACCTGTGTGGCCTGGGTCCAGGTCCCACACCCTCAAGTTGCCTCAGTCCCTGTGGGTCTGTAAAGAGTGTCAGGAAGGTGCTTCCAGTTTAAAGGTGGCCACAGGGGTAGGCACCAAATGGCTGCAGTTACCCGCCTGGCCTGTCTGGAGACCTCAGTCCCAACAGGAGACAGGGCTAAGGAGGCACTCAGCCTACTTCTCAGTTTTTCTTAACCTACCTATATGCCACGTCCTGTACTTCTATACATCATTTATATTTCACTCCCACATTAACACTAAGGCACGCTCGTGGGTCCCATTTTATTGGAAAGGAAACAGAGCCCCTGAGAGATGAAACAGCAAGCTCCCCTGGGTAATGTGGGGTTGGAGGTATAAGGTCTGACCTGCTCTAGACTCCACGCCTTACACCTCTCTACTTTCTGCCTCCACTAGTGATGGCCAACCTCTGGGTCTGAGATCTTGTGGGTCAGAGCTCCCAGAAGCATCTATTAGAATGTTCTAGAGTATAGTAAAATGCAGACACAAGCAACTTAGATTCTGCTCCAGATCTGCTTTGTTAACCCTCAGAGACTCCGCCCTGGGACCCAGACACTGCCTTTTCATGAAGCCCCGAGCAATTCCATTCCAGGGAGCAGGTGGATGACCAGCAGCAGTGAAACACAGTGACAGTCCTTCCAGTGACTGGATTCTGTGGTCCTGGCTGTGACCCTCCCAGAGTAGGGGTGGCGGGGAGAGGCACAGTGAACTGCTAGCTCTGACAGTGGGGGGATCCTGAGAATCTGGTTCTGGCCCTCCTCCATCACCACTCCTATGTCCTGCTATCTGCCCTCCCTGGAGCACCCTGGATGCTTGTCCCTCAGCTCTTCTAATTTGCCAAATGTTAGCACAGCCAGAGCTCAGCTAGGGCATGGCTGGGCCCTGTGTGCCCTTCTCCCTTATGCTCTCCAGCCCATTCCACGCTGTTAAGAGCTTGCTGCGAATGAAGCTGTCCAGAGGACTCCTGACAGTTAACACTTGCAACACTGGCCGACTCAGCCACTTGTCCTGCAAGGGCCTGAGAGAGAACTTAAGGAAGTCGCGGAGACCTTCCGAGGCTGGTCCTGAATGGAGACAGGCCTGCTGGGCCTGGATACATCCCTGAGCTGCCGCAGAATTCTCTAAAGCAGTAAGTGGCCTAGATAAGATCACGAAGACCCGAATACCTATCTGTCTATTCTATAGTCTTCTTTTTTTTCTGAGAATAATTCTAAAATACTACACAAGAAACTGGGAACGAGGCTGCCTAAGGAAGGTGGATGCTGGGAAACAGGGTGCTACACATACCCAGGTTTCATGGAGCCCTTTGGTTCTATTTGGATTTATGTATTCATTCATTCATTCACTTGTTTAGTTATAATTTTTAAAAAGATTTATTCATTTATGTATACAGAACTGGGGAACAGGCCAGAGGTGCAGGGGAGGTGAGAGGATTCACCAGAGACAACATGGGGAGCAAAACAGGCCGACTGATGAAGTACACTGCTGAGGGGAGCAACGGGCGGGCCAGGGGAGGTTTGCTGAGCCATGTGGATCACCTCTGGGTGGGATAAACTCATGCTGAATTAGCTTTAGCTTCTTAGTGCTGCGCTTTAACTCGCTGTGCCATCAGGGAGGGCCTGTTTGGATTTTATTTTTACCTTGACCACATCATGCATTTCCAGTTGAAGCAACATGAAAGGGCCACTATGGAGAGAAGAGAGGTCACAGCAACCTCCTAGAGACTCAGCTGAATTTCCTGTACCTGCATCATTTGCCCAAAGCCCCGGTTGGTATAAATCCTTTCTCTCTCCCTAAGCACAAAGAACAAGCAAATTGCACGATCACTATAGAGACTTTTCAGTGCAGCCTGTCTCGATGAGCCTGCTGGGCAGGTCAAGGGTCACTGGGGCTTAGCGGCTGCCCCTCCTACAGCAGCTCCTTCCAGAATCAGAACTGAGCCCGCTACCTGCGCATTCAGCTCGTAGACGCATCTGGCCCACAGACGCCCCTGGTTTCTCAAGGTGTGTGGTGAGAGGTGGGTGAACCCTGCCCAGGGGATGGGACAAAACAGAAACACATGGGTGGCTCTCTGGGTTTTCCCCATCAGCAAGTGTGCAGGAATGATTCATGAGAAGCTGAGCTGAGTTCCCACTGCTCCAGCTGAGCGGAGGGTGAGGAGACAGAGCAGCAAGTCACACCTGCAGGTCCCCTTTCCTCCTCCTTGGGAAAGACTTGTTTACTTGGAGGCTGCAGGTGGCCGTGGCCAAGCCTGGAAACACCACCGGAGACACATTGGCTCAGCCAGGCTACTTGAGCAGGGGATCTGGGGCCATGATGTCGCCTCCCAGCCAAAACTCATTTCCTGCCTAACTCCCCGTGGCCAGCTCACCACAAAGCCTTACGAAGGCAAGACCCGATGTATAAACAGACATGAAGACTCGGCAGCAGAGAGGCCTGGAATGTGCATGAGAGCCCAGTGAGCCCAGCATGGCTTTGTGGTATCAGATGATGACAATCCCATATGTTTGTAGAGAGCCAAGGCATCCTCACAGCCCCGACAGTCTCTACTATGCCCACTCCCATTTCCAAATGAGGAAACAGTGGGCTCAGCTGATTACTCCCCAGGGCCCTCTCTCCTCTACCTGTGTAGGGCCCAGGGATACAGCTGGCACTCCATGCTGATTCGCTGAATGAAACAAACATTGAATGAATTAGCCAGTTGATAGAACAGACATACAGAGGAATCACCTTCCGAGAGTCAGTGGGGGACATGCGTTCTCCGTTTGCCTTCAAGGGTGGGACCTCAGTGGCATGAACCTGGTCCTGGGGGAGGATCTTCACTAACATATTGGCCGCAGATCAGGGCTTTTGCTCACAGAGCCTGTCAGTACTGTGTCTAAGTGACACACGTGAAGGCAACTGGAACATAAATTTTTTAGATCTTTGACCTTTTTCCAAAAAAAAAAAAAAAAAAAGACAGAATGGGAAGAGTCTAAATAAATGCCATAATTTTTGAAAATAATAATGCTTCTACTATAATAATAATCATAATAATTGATATTATTTCCCCAGACACAAACAGATCCTACCCTATGCAAGGCACTGGGATGGCTGCAGGAGAGAATCCAATACTGGAGCAATAATTTACATTCTCAGGTACAAACTGTGAGGGGCCCATGAATCACCTGGGGATCCTGGAAAAGTGGTGATTATGATGCAGTGGGACACAAGTTCCCACCCTGAGAATCACCTAGAAAGCAAGGTCCAGAAAATGCTATAATGTGCCAGCCGGTTCTAACCTAGCTACCTACCAACACATTCAACCCTTAGGACACTGCCATAGAATCCTCCTGGCCACATTTTACCAATGGGCCCTGAGGCCCATGGTTACCAGCTGGGCAGCCACACTCAGAGGATGTCGGGACACTGTCTCTGTTATACGCCTCCTTTCCAGTTAATTTTCTATTCTTAAAATCATCGTTGCTTCTTCTTTCGCTTCTTGGCTTCTCTTTTCAATGGTTATCTACTTCCTGTCTCACCACTACTGAGTAGTTTCAGAAATGAGCACAGGGGAAGCTCAGGCTCACCCACTGCCAGTGGACAAACCCCATCTTTGATTTTCAGCATTCTGTGGCTTTGGCATCAGGACCCCACCCTATTGCAGCCTCAGCCAGTCCCTACACATGCAAACAACAACTGGCACTGAGCAACCCTCTCATTAGTGGCTCTTGCCCTCTGGGCCACTCACTCTCTTCCTGCCCCGTTCACCCTGGCACCAGGCACCAGACACTTGGGACAGCCCCTTTGCCCCAGAGTCCCTGGAATTATGCAGAACAACCAATCCTGTATCTGTCTCCGCTGTGCACCTGGTCCCTCCTGTGGAATTCACAGTAAAGGGTCTTGCCCACATCCTCTGCTCCCTCTGCCTGGCCTTTGTGCTGCTCTGAGTGTCCCCATTCCAAGCAGTGCCCCCCCCCTTGGGATCTTGACTATAACACTTTCTTTTCAATGGAAGTTGTCTCCTGATCTGTTGACTTCACCAAACCTAACTAATAACAAAACAGCGAGTTGTCCCCAGGAATTAGTGGGTCATGTGGGGTTTTCCTGGTCCTTCCCAAGCTTAGCTTGTTTCAGAGCTGGCTTGTATATATTCTCAATAGACCGCTTCCAAGGTCATTGCCTATGGCTAGCATTGCTGGTCCTGAACGTGCCGTTCCTGGGGAGGGTACCCGGATTCCCCAGGACCTCCAGGGCTTCTTACCTCATTCCCCGGCAGGTGCTGAGTGTGACACTGGACTTTGGGGCCTTCCTCACCGTCCCGTGGTAAAAGCAGTGGTCCTAGCAAGGAGAGAACAGGCGGTCAGGCATGAGCATGTTCACGTGTATGTCCCCCTGAAGGTCACCTTATTTGCACAGAGCTGTCCATGCACCATTTGTTTGACCCTCCTCGGAGCCCTGGGCAGTGGGGCAGACAGATGACCACCTCCCCACTTGTCAGATGGATGGAGATGCTGAGGCTCAAAGGAGCAAGGACACTTGCTGAAGTGCTGGAGATAACAGCAGTGTCAGCCCATGCGTCCCAGGACACAGATCTTCCTCTCGGACATGTTGGCCACAGGAAACTCTGGCTCCTGAGGAGCCAGTCTGCCCCCTGGTTCTGTGATCCACCTGTAGGGTTGACTCATGTCCCTCCTCCCCCGAGTCATGCCAACCCTGATCTTATTTGGAATATGGTATTTGCAGATGTAATTAAATTATGATGAGGGCACACTTTATATGAAGAGGAAAGGTCACAGAGACACACAGGGAGAAGGCCACTTGGAGAGGGAGCCAGGGATTTGAATGATGGGACTATAACCCAGGTGATGGAGCGATAGCCCAGGAACACTGCAGATGGCCAGGAGCCACCGAAAGCAAGGAAAAGGCAAGGAAGTGTCCTTCCCTGACCTTTCAACACCTTGATGTTGGACTTACAGCCTCCTGCACTGGGACAGTAGAGACTTCTGTTCTTTTAAACTTCCAAGTCCACGGGGCTGTGTTACAGCAATCCTGGGAAACTAACAGACTGCCCGCCCAGGACACGGTGAGTCTCCCCTGAGCCCTGGCTGCCCAGAACAGGCTGCATTTGGCTCCTGTGTCCTGGGATGCATGGGCTGACACTGCCCCGTAGCCCCCATGTGGCTCCCATGTGACATCAAACGGGTGTGGAGCCAGGTTGTGGAGAAAGAAGCCTAGACATCCAGTGAACACCCACACAGCTCCAGCCTCCTGAACTCAGCCCAGCCCTGAGAGCTGAACTTCACTCACACACCTTCACAGACAGACTGATACGGAGCAAAGAGCAGCTTGGATCTGAGTTGGAGGGGCCCACAGTGAAGATAGCAGGTAACTGAGACACCGCTGAAGGCTGGAGACCGGGATCACACCCCTACCAGCCTCTTCCCAGATGTGCAAAGACACAGAACAGGTAAGAAGGGAAAGAAGGCAGAGCTCCAGTGCAGGGCTGGCTCTAAACCAGTGTGAAGGAGGATATGAGCTCAGCGGTTGCAGACACAGCTGCTGAGTCTCCTGCCTCACATCCTGCATGCGACACCAGCCATCTGTCACCAGGAGCAGGCTTGCCTGTAGCTGCTCCTGGTTCCCTAGCAGGCAGCGGTGTGACAGGAGACAGACCCCTCATTCTCTGGCTGCATCCCCCCCAGTTCCAGACATCAGGACTGCCTGACCATTGCTTTCCAGTCTTGGGGTACAGCAGGATCAGATCTGAACGCATACTTCCAGCCCAGCAGATCTGAAGGGCACTCCACACGGGGCTCTGACCGCTGAGTCTTCTCCACCTCAGAGACAGCAATGAGAACACCGTGTCTGGAGCCAGGCAGGCACATTGCAGCTGGCAGCAAACACGAGTGGTCAAGTTATCAGCACTGAGTTCTCCTGTGTTAAAGGCAGAATGTGGCCTAAGGGCACGGAAGCTCATCAGGAGCTAAATGCCTCCCACGCAGGCTCACAGGCCTCAGCCTCACAGATGCCCTCCCAGCAGAGTCACACTGCAGGATCACAGATCACAGGCCAGCAGGCACCCAACTGCGGTCATTCTCAGGATCCCGGGTGCCCAGTCACTGATGGGAGTGTGGCCGCTCCGCATTCGAGGTCCTAAGGCAGGCAGCAGCCTCACTGTTTATAGCAAACTCTCCTGGACCTTAGCCAGTTCTGGTCCTGACCTGTGGAGCACAACGGAAAGCAGCTACCCGGCACACAAGGTTCAGCAACTGTGCAGGAAGGTGGACGTCACCCCTCTCCTTCCAGAAGGATCCCACCTGCTCAGTGTCAGCCTTCTGGTGAGTCCCCACTTAGCCCGTGGACTGAGCCTGCTCCTCACAGCGCCGTGGGGGCCACGAGGCCCATGAGCCAGGACCAGGCAGGGTTTACACTCCCTGGACAGACAGCAAGAGGGGCTGGGCCTGGGTGGGGGGTCAAAGGCGCACCACAGAGAGTAAGCAAGTTCAGAAATGTGGGTCAGTTAGCTCCCCAAATCCTGGCACCGCTACAGAGAGCAATTGGAGCCAGAGGCAGAATGACGCATCTCTGGCCCTTGTCCGGCCCTTGGAGGCATGCGAACAGGGCTCAGGGGCCAGGGACGGGTGCTCTCCCACACGGCCTGCCCAACCTTTGACAGAGACCTTAAAGCTACAGTGGCAAAAGCACAGTGGGCTGCTGAATGAATGATTTGCATTGTTTAATACAGTGTATCACTGGATGCCTGTTATCAGGTCAAATATTCCAGATTAGATACTGCCTAAGAAAATTTCAAGTATCTAAAATTAGAAAGTTTATATATAAAACATCTGAAAAGGCCTTTCCTAATTTGACAAAAAACCCTAACATTTACATGACATCACCAACAGATGGTTGCTGAGGTGAAATAAATGTTTCTAAGCTATCAGTAACACAAATCAGATTTCAATCAACCATGCTCAGGGAATACTATTATCTTCTTGTTCTTAGAGATATTTAAGTGTCATCTGAAGAAAAGGTGCAATGCAACCAAGGTTGTAGCAACTATAAAATTGCATCAGAAAGTGATAAAATACTGTTATTTTCTAGGATTTTAGTGATAATTTGGGCATGTATATGGGCAGTTTTAGCCTGGGATTTCTCATTATAAATAGGAATTTATATGCATGCTTTAAAGAGAGGTGTAATGGGCGTCCCCATACATTCCCACTGTCATTAGCGGTAACAGCAGGTCTCTTAGCTAGCTCCTGATACTAGATAAACTACTAACACAGACATTTCCCCTTTAATTCTGACCATGGCCTGGTGAGATAGGTACTATTACCGCCAATTTTTCAGGGGAAACTGAAGGTTGGGGAGGTTTTGGGTCATGCACAAGGTCACACATTGGAGGGGAGAGTTCAAACCCTGACTCTAGACCGACACCCGCCTCTCAAAGCAGAAAGCAGTGCCCACTCAGTGAAAGGACTTCTGTTCTTGCATCAGCAGATATACATGCTTATCTGAGCCTCGCCACTTACTGCTTATTGGAACCTAGGCAGATCCCTCTTTTTTCATCTATAAAATGTGGCGCTAGAATTTCCAAATCCCCATAAAACTCAGTGATCCATCGTGTACCCCACCCCACCCCACCACCTGCCTGGAGTCAGAGTCAGATGATAGCATATCCAATTTTCAGATGAAGAAACTCAATACCAGTATGGTCGAGAGGGTTGCTTGAGGTCATATAGCAAGTCAAAGCCAAGACTGCAACCTTGGCCTCAGTCCTCAAACTCTGCAATGTTCCCACTGGAACAGGCTACAGACCCATCCCCAGGGGCCTGACCTAGATCAAGGCTGACACCTGAGGGCCTGCCGATGAGCTGAATGAGGGTCCCAGCAAGGCCCAAGACCACAGGCCAAGTATGGTCTCCAACATTTGGATCACGCCTGGATAAACGGTTTTTCCACTCGCCTTTCTCTTTGAGTTCTCAATTTCCAAATAAGCCCGCTGAGTGGGAGCCCCACGGGGCAGGGTGAGGGCTTTGTAGTGTCCAGCAGCAGGGGCATATGAGGGAACGATGACTTGTTCCCTACTTCAGCCAGGATGTGCTTAGGTCAACATGCCCTTCGGGCAGAAGGGAACTCAGGCCCAAGGGGCATTTTTCCCCCCTCCTCTCTTTCTGAAAGCCCCTTACAACATGTCTGCTAATTCTGAGAGCACAAAGAACAAGTCAATGAACAGCCATGAAGTCATCACATTCTTTCTGGGCTTCTCATCAGAGGGGGCCACCCTGGGGGCTTTCAAAGCAGGGAGCATGAGCTCATGGCACACTTGCCACTGAGACCCATTCTTGAGCCAGGGCTACAGAAATGCCCTGCCAAACTGAAGGAGGGTGCTTTTGCCAGGTCCGGGTTTGCTCTTGAAGCATGCCTGTCCCTTCTCCTCCCCCAGAGGCAGAGAGCAGAGAGCAGAGGTCTCAAGAAAGGGAGGAGAGCCTTCTACACTGGCACTCAAGGTAGAGCCAAGCTGGACAGCTCCTGGGGGTGAGGAGACAGCCAATCGCATTGCTGTCTGCCTCCACACGCAAACCCCACGTGGCCCCTCAGCTACTAGGCTAAAGTGCCCCTGAGCTCTCTGCTGGATTAACCATCCCAAGCACTTTTCCCCATTTAAAAGTAATCTGAAACTAATTTGTTAGCAGCTGTCACAGATCTTCAGACCGCCTCACCCTGGCAGGCTATCTAAAGAATGGGCCACGTGGGTATGTGGTTCCACTGGAAGCTGCTGGGGAACTCCAAGGCAGAGGGGCTTCCTGCTCTCCACTTCTCCCTGCTTCACACACTTCTCCTGTCGACAAGGAACATGGAGCAGGCCAGCACTGCCCTCCCAAATCCACCCCCACCCCTTCACCCCATCTCACAGCCCAAGGTGGGAGGAGGGTCATTGTCACCCAGAGCGTCTTAGCTCAGGCACTTCTGATATTTGGGCTTACATAAGCCTCCGCTGGGAAGGCTAATTGTCTCTTGGCACATCACCAGCCTCTTAGCAGCATACTTGGGCTCTACCCACTAAGTGCCAGTGGCATAGAGCTCCTGGCCCAGATGTTGAAAACAGTCCCTGCTTTGTTGGCTAAAATGCCTAAAGACACAGATAGAATGGGCAGGTAACTGCATCTGATTAACATTGATATAAATCTCTGAGAAGCACATTTTCTTGGCTTTATGTTAGTCAACCACCTATTATCCATGTATTAGCTGACATGTTAATCACTCACATAGTAAAGCACAAGAAATAATCAAAAGCACCTCTGATTCTGAGAAGTCCTCAGTCATGAGAAAATCTAGGAGACTAGGAAATGTCTATGGTTGGCCATCAGTGGGGCTGGGACGAAGCCAACTAAGATGAATCCATCTAAAGGACCATCCTTTAAGTGACATAGCTTTGTGCCAACATCTATGCTCAAAAATAACTCTTGGTATATGTTGGGGTGGGGGACGGGCAGGGGATATCCAATATGAATAGCAAAAGAACAAAAGTCTCACAATGAAACATCTATAAAAAGACAGACCACAAAACCCACCTGCCTATATGCAAAAGGAACAGGCCAATATCTGCTTGGAGAAACCTGCAGTATTAGAGGAAATGGATTCTTTCATTTCAACGTTTGTTAACAGGTGGGTTAATACCAAAGAAAATCTATGCTCCAGAGAGATTTATAACAAATTTAATCAAATGCAATAAACTAAAAACATCTTTGACCAATCAGCCATTGTGGCTGAGGCACTCAAGAGAAATCTGCCACCTACTTCTCCTGTTCATTCTCTTGGGCGTAAGTCAGGGAAACCATTAGAAGGAGGGCTACCACCATCACCCACCTCCTCACTTCCCAGGGTGGTACTGGGAGAGGACAGCTGCTTGACAGGTTTGTACAGACCTGAACTTACCTCAGATTTCAGCGTGGTGGTTTGAGGGACCCCGCTTGGAGTATAATGGGTTTCTGTGTAGGCTGGTGCAAAAAGATGCCTGCAAAGAATGAAAGTGGACATTGTCTCTTGAGTTGATAGGCCACCTCTCCTGGTAACTGACCCAGGCAGAACCATTCCAAGTATCTCTGCAGAAGAAACTGGACAGCTGAGAGGGCCCCAGGCACAGAAAAGAAAAGCGGGGAGAGCTTGTTATGGCTTTTGCATTCATTGGGCTTATCATCATTCGGACACTACCAGATGACCCGAGTTGGCAGAAATAAAGCAGTTGTGAGTTCTAGGGAGCATCAGGTGCCAGCATATCCACAGGTTCCCAGAGATTATGGACTAACTGTGGACCTGGATGGATTTTTCCAGCATTTCATCCACCAACCTTCAGTATCAGTGCACCCCATTTTTCTTTAAGGGAAAACCTCTTCCTTGTATGTTTTGGAGAGACTGTCAATCAAAGGGTCCTCCCCAGCCCTGATCAAGGGCGTCCTTAATACGAGCTAAGCCAATGCAGTAGTGAACTGAATTCTTCAGCGAGAACTGAAGAGAGGGACAAATCACCCATTCCTCTGCTCCTGCTGCTTGGCTTCTGGAACTGCCTTTGCCTTTCCTATCTGAGACCTTATAGCTCTGTTTATTACCCTGACAATACATTCTTCCTCCATCCCTTTTTTAAAATTAGACATTGGTTTCTCTCCTGCCACAGTTCCCCTGAAGCTGAGGGCAAGAACCCCTCACTGAAGAAAGGCAAGGCAACAGCAAAGAAGGTGCCTAGGACTTCTCTGGATGTAAAAAGTAAAAGAGCCAAATGGCTGCTGCAGTCTCTCAGGCACATTAAAAGCAGAATGTATGTGTAGAGGGTCAAGGTCAGGAGACAGAGGCTGCTAATGGAAGGGCCATTAGCAGTCAGAGTGTAACAGAAAGAATGGCATGGATCTGGATCTGTGTGTGCTGATATGGAAGACGTCGAGAACGGAGCTAGATACAGACACTTTCAGAAAAGGATGGATTTTGAAAATGTCTTTCAGTGAAGAACCATAAAAGCTCATGCAGTGCACACAAGGAAAGCAAGCAGAGAAACAAATGTCCAGTTAATGACCTCAGGAGAATGCAGATGTTCACAGTGTAAGTTGCAGACTTCCAAAGAAACAGTTGATTTTCCAAAGCAACTCTTATGTATTTTTTTTGAAAAACTAAAAACACAGTTTGAAACTGCTTTTTAAAAAGATGAAAATTGAGTCTGAGGCCAGCAGAGAAAGCCAAAGGGATGTCCTGCTCTTGGAGGAGGGAACATTTCCCAGCAAGACAGGAGGAAGGGTCTCCAGAGTCCATCTATCACTCCCAGCTCTCAGCTCTGAGGCTGATGACCTCAGATTCCCCCAACCCGCAGAGTGGAGTCAGAGAGCCACAAAAATTGTCTCAGTTATTATGTCAAATCCTGCAACATCCAGCCTTGGACAAGATAAGAAGTCCAACAGGGAAATATAAAAACAAAGCCAGGCACAAAACTCAGCCTATTTGTACCAAGATACACTCATCCACATGGGAGTTGCCTGACCTGACTCCCTGCCCCTCTTTTATCCCTTTAGCATCTCACCAGCCAAGGATCACAGGGAAGAATCTCCCTTAGAAAGGGCCGGGGGAAAGGGGTAAGTGTAAGCCTCATACTGGCACAAGACAAGCTCATCATTATGTAACACATTATTAATGTGTTACATTTATTCCATGAATGAGTGAGTGAATGAGTGAATGAATGAATGAATGAATGAATGAGTGGCTCTACTGACTGGATGCTGAGAGCACAGTCTGGAGTTTCAGTTCTGGCTCTGACATTTACTAAATCTGAGCCAGTGATGTTACCACCATGCCGCTATGTTTCATGATAATCCACCTACATGATAGAACATGTAAAAACATGATAATCCATCTACTTGACAGAACTAAAATTAACATAAAGGACATGATGTGTGAAAAAGGCTTAATACCAGGCCAAGCAGAGAGGAGAGCTCAGTGAAGTTAGCAATGACCATTCATATATTTAAGAGATTATAAGGGAAGAACCTAGAAAAACTGATGGAGTTAATATATTTCCTCTCCAGTTTCCTCTCTGAGATGTCATTTGAGAGAGGTGAAGAGTAATTGGGTTGCTATCACAGACTTTACAGCAGAAGGACAGTAAGGGGTTCAGAGCTGAAGGCTCCAGCCATGGCCAGTGGGGATATGTGACTTCCTGCAGGAAATGCACTATCCTGATAAGCACACTGTCAGCTTCTGCTGACTCTTGGGATACGAGGAGGAGGCCACTCACCCACTGACATTATGATGCTACAAAAGAGAACAATTCAGATTGCATTCTGGGGGACACAGCCCAGCAGTTAAGTACCTTTCTGCAGCTTCTGATGCTGAAGTTATGCCCCCCACCTTATCAGAGACCCAGTATTGAAAGAGACCTTAAGAATTATTTAGCTAGGGGCCTCTCTGGTGGTGCAAGGGGTTAAGATGCAGCACTAGGAATCAATCCGCAGCCACTGAAGCACATCACAAGTCTGATCCCGGGGCAGGGAGCTGACCCACATGGGTCAGCAGACCTCTCCTGTCTCGCCCACTCCTCCCTTCAGCGTTTTTTTTCACTCGATCAGTCTGTTCTGTTCCTCATTCTGCCTGTTGAAGCCTCTCACTCCCCCATATCGCTGGCTTGCACACCAGCTCATGAATAAATAAATCTTCTAAAAAAAATCTTTAGCTAAACTAACTAGCCCTTAAAAGTAAGGCAAAAGCTGCCTTGTTCAAGCTCCCAGCATCAACTAGGCAGGTAGTTGGTGTTAACCTTGTGAGCAAGGGGATGGAGGTATAAATAAACCTTCTTTGTGGAAAAATCTGCCCAATGGCAGTGAGTATTGGACACCTCCAGTGACAGGGAACACTAAACCCTGCTCACTCCACATCTGGACATACACAGCATAGATAAGCCTTGTTTATTGGCCTCAAAGAGATTGCGTTTCAGTATGGCGATTATTTTAAAAACTAAAAATGAAAATGCCATGTAATGCAGCACTTCTAGGTAATTACCCAAAGAATAAGAAGACACTAATATAAAAAGACACAAGCCTATGCTCATAGCAGCAGCAGCCACAATAGCCAAGACATGGAACTACCCTGTGTGCACAGCAACAGGATAAAGAAATGGTGGGCCACATACTCTGTGGAATACTACTAGGCTATTAAAAAGGATACATGTCTTTGGCACGGTATGGATGTTCCTCAACATGATGATGGAAAGTAAAAGACAATTCCCAGATGGTTTCAGTCATTCGTGGATTACAAATAACAAAGAAAACAAAGTGGAAAAACACGACACAAAGAATTCATATACACTGATCAATATGGAGGTTACCACAGAGGTGGAAGGGTGACATGACCAGGTACTGGCTCAGAAGCTTTGGTGGAGGCTAAGTAAAGCCACACACGTCTAGGTATGAAGTTGTACTCCCAAGCTTACACAGTGCTGTAAATAAACAGCAAATCCATCAAATTTGATCTAAAAAAAAAAAGTGTCCCATTCTTAACAAGACCTTCTATCAGAAAAAATTATTACAAATCACTGAAAGTTCATTTGATGTCTAACATTTTTAAGCAATAGTGTCTTTTTTTTTTTAAGATTTATTTATTTGTACATACAGAACTGGGGTACAGGCCAGAGGCTCAGGGGCGGCAAAAGGCTTCACCAGAGACAGAGTGGGGAGCAGAATAGGCAGATCGACTAAGTACACTGTTGAAGGGAGCAGCCGGCGGGTCAGAAGAGGTCTGCCACGCCATATGGATCTCTTCCGGGGCAGGCGGGGATCGAACTCATACTGAAGTGGCTTTAGCTTCTTAGTGCTGTGCTTTAACCAGCTGTGCCACCAGGGAGGGCCGTGTATTTTTTTTTTTTTTAAGATGTATTTATTTGTGCATACATAACTGGTGTTCAGGACAGAGGTGCAGGGGCGGTGAGATGATTCACCAGAAACAAAGTGGGGAGCAGAACAGGCAGATCGACTAAGTACACTGTTGAAGGGAGCAGCCGGCGGGTCAGAAGAGGTCTGCCACGCCATATGGATCTCTTCCGGGGCAGGCGGGGATCGAACTCATACTGAAGTGGCTTTAGCTTTTCAATGCAGTGCTTTAACCCACTTTAACCCACCAGGGAGGGCCCACAACAGTGTTTTTAACTGAGGTGTGTGCATTGTTTTAATACATGATGCTACTGCATACTCAATAGAATACAATGCAGCAAACATGAAGGTTATGCACTGGGAAACCAAAACATTCGTGTGATTCGCTTTGCTGTGCTATTCATCCATATTGCTGTGATGTGGACATGCAGTAACTCCTAGGTCTGGCTGTGATTAGAGAAGGTTCAGCATCGAACCAAAAAAGGCTTCTCTGTGCCCAGTACCCACTAAACCATCATTCTGTTTCCGAAACTATGCAAACAATCTGCTTCCTCTTCCCTCTTCTTACCTAATTACTTCTCTGAGGTCTGAAACAACACTACTACTTGGTAGTGAGATGCCGCTGTCAGGGCCCCTTTCTCCGAAACAAACAGAAAAGGTGGAAAGGGACCTCCCATCTTTTCTAAGAACTTTCTGAGTGGTTTTGGATGAAAGTTCAAGCCTGAAACTCCTGCCCTAAATCATACATTGTCAACCATCTTTGAGACAGATGAATTTCAGAAATACTAAGGTGTTTAGAACCCCCTCCCATGCTCACCCAGCACCTCCCCCATTCAAGCATACCTCCAGCACTTCCTTCATCATTCTGAAAACCCAGAAGAGTAACCATCAACATGTTTTGAATCATAGGAATCAAAGCGTTAAGTCCTGGTGTCATCTCACTGCACTTTCACAGCATATTATGTGCTGGCACCAACAGCTCCCCCAGGTTATAAGGACACTGGACCATTGACATGAATGTTGTCCCACTGCCCAGAGTCTGAGTGGGGTCACAAAGGCAGGTCTGTTGGACCCAAGCACACATTTAAATCACCCTACAGCTCCATCTTTCTCA